CATGATGTGATGATGTATTACAAAAGTACTGACCATGCCATCTAAATTTAAATAATCCTACACTAAAAATAGAAATGAATGTGATTCCAAAAGAGTTCAGAGCACAGACAAGGAAGCAGAAAGAGATGGATATAATGAAAGGAAAATGGTGAAGCAGTTATAATGAAATAATGGATTTTTTAATAGAAAAGCTTAGAAATAGCAACAGATTGATGGGTTTGACTAATACATTATTTGGAAAACATGGCTAATGTCCTTGGATGAGTGCAATTTAAACTCATTAGATCCATGATATAAGGCTCACAAAAATTACACTTGAGTATGGAACTCAGTCTTTAAAAACAAGACTAAACACCTACTTAACAAAACACAATAAACAAAATATGTTTGAAACTTCTGATAACATATGCTGAAGCATAGTTTATTAGAGACATCGTATCTTAAAATCATTTAAACTGGAACACACAGACTTGCCCACATAACAGTATGCTACCTCTGTAATACTTTTACAGCCCTTTACAATATGCAAATCTAGAATGTCTTACCTCCCGAATCTGTCCTTTTTATTGAAGTCTGCACCAGTGTTCAGCAGAAGATTTAGGCACTCCAAATTCCTATTAAATTAATGCAATATTGCTTGTGATTACAAATTTTATTTCCCTAATATCAGCTTCTGCGAACATCAAAACTGCTACACATATACGTCTCATATGTTGTTTTTAATGGAACTAAACTATTGTATGAAATTTGGACAAATACATTTGTCTATGTGAAATAGATTTCAGAATTGCCGGACAAAATCAGGAAAGAATATAAATTATTATATATATTATATATATAAATTATTTGAGTTCATATATAGAAATTTTAGTGATATCAAATGGCATGCATAAAGCACATAAACATTAACCTAATTAACAGAAAATTCAATTCTTCAAAGCAAATAAACAGTTAACACCTGGATGTCACATGCTTTTTGCTACCAGGATTCCAGAACAGAGGCAAGTTTTTAACGTATATTTTTTAAGGCCAAATGTATGTTGCAATATTAATATTTTACTTCTTAGTGTAATTCATATTCAATACAATACAATCATCATAACATATGTACAATGCTGCTTATTGTTTAAACACTATCTTAGTGACTTTCCCAAACTGGAGATGAATGAGGGGATGTGTCACAAATCATGTGTTTTCATATGAAAAGATAGCATTTTAACCTTAATCACTTGCGACAAGGATGTATCTATCAAGTATCTTTTGACTTAAGAATGATTACTTAACAGTATTAAACAACATTGAAACAGAAAAATGAAAATATCAATATCATGGAGTTCTTGTGTCCCACAAAGTGTATCATGAAATTTATTACCCAGTTCTTCCAGGCAATTTTGAGTAGCTGCTATAGAATACCTACAATACAATAACAATAATCAATACGGATCACAACTCAAGTGATGAGCAAGTAGTTCTGACTACTTCATCCACCTAAACTCTGGAATTTAATTATGGCTTTTAATTTAGTTAGATTGATCTTTTGTTTACGGATTTGGTAAAAACATATTTCCCAAACTTGCTGCTCTCCACCTCGTGTCCTACGGTGTTCTTAGCTGGGCGTGCTATCTTTGAATGCTGTAAATTCTAAAAATTGTATCATCATCATCCATGGGAATTTAAAATTAAACTCATCCCCAAGCATAAACCCAAGGGAAGACTGATGATACTTGGACACTGTACTCCAATAATTACCTATTGAGCTGAATATTTAATTTATTTTTATTGTTCGTAAAGAGAATCCATCTTGAAATTATTTTTATGTTTACATAAATTTCAAGGGGAGAGGACAGGAAAAGCACAGAGAGGAAATAATAAAAAAGAATAAGAATGGTCAGGAATTGAAAAGAGAAAATTAAATATGAAAGCATGAATACTTTTTTACATACCCTCCAGCTGCAGCTGCATGAAGACAAGTCCTGCCAAAGTCATCCGGTGTGTCAATGTCAAAACCTACAAATACCAATATTTTGTAAAATCATTACATGACACCACCTTTTGCAAAACTGCTCTCACCTGCTCTCTTAAGAGAAACGCTTGCTAAGCAAACTTCACAGCTATTTGCAAACTTACGCACTGAAAATTTACTTCATGTGAATCACATCTTTGCTATTCACGATATTCTGAAAAACAAGTGTTCAAATAAAACTGCAAGGGATAAAGTAAAAGGCCATTAGCTGCACTGATGCAAGAGGCTATATAGTTTCTCATCCTATTACCTGCTAATATTTCTGTGTAGTTTAGTATTGAATATAAAATATATGAAGGTAATAAGAAAATTTAAGAATCGGCTAGAATTTATCAGTGTTATGTAGAGATTACTCTTTTTTTTTAATAAAGACAGGGATGTCAGCATTACTAATCCAGAAACTACTTAAATTTCATCCTTGAGTTTAGCTCTAGTTTCAGAGAAAGACCTTTGTTAAACTGAAGTGAAGGCCGTAAATGGCAATTACTTACACAGGAGCCCTTCAGTGAACCTTGTAGTTTTTTTCTCTTCCCAATATGTGTGACTATGGAACTTCAAATGTGGCATCACAAACTTTTACTGTGCAATTCTGTATCCAACCATGTATTTTGACATGAAGATTACTATTTAAATCAGGTTTCAAAGTTACATTTTTGGTTTGAGAAAACTACTATACTCTCCTAAGAGTCTTGCTCTTGTGCAACAAAACTCATCCACTACATCTCCAGTTCGGGCACTTTTGCCTGGGAATGTAATTTTTTTTTTTTTTCTCCCCAAGAACTGTTCAACAATGATAAACAGTGAACAACACAGGATGTGTTATTCAAGAGTACTACTATTCAAGACTCTTTTCCTACTCCACATCCCCCAAAACATAGGTTTTTCTATGTGTCACTACGTTCTCCCATTTCAATAGGTAGTGATACACAGCAAACAAAGATAGTTTACCAATCTGATTTGAAAAGTAGTCTTCGACACCTTCCCACATCCCTAGGTTGCTTGTCTAACACCACTAACTACTTCAACGTCATTCAGTACTGGGACAAAGCAGATTGATTTTTGTGTGTGGTGGTTTTTTGTTTTGTTTTTTTTTTTTTAAGGGCTGCACATTAATATTAATGAATTTAAAATCTGAGATTCTTAATTTACATAAATGAGACTCCTCCTCACAAAAAAAGGGGCACATAAGCTGCACATGCTAATCCCCACACGAAGAGCACATACTAATAAGCTGTTAGCAGTATCTAGTCTTTCCAGTCTGAAGGCTGAACATATTCTTAAAGTCCTTATCTGCTCCAGGCTAAATTTACATCCAAGTTTTGCTCAACTCATCTAAAAGTCACAGAAACCACTTGCAAGTCTTCTGCATGGATTTCTTTGCCATACTGGATCTCCAGTAAGGGCACAGCCAGCACAGCACCATGTGCAGAAAGGAGAAATGGCCAGAGTTCCTCATTTTAAACACATGCAATTGAAATACAGTCAACTGCAGGACAGTTTTTTCCTGGCATGAATCTTTGCAAGCTTGTTCGTGACAGGACAGAAGAATAAAAAAGCCTTACTGGTGGTAGTTTTAGTTATACTCCTTTAGTTCTTCTCCCAGGCTTCCCTAGCAGACATAAAGCTGGGGAAACAACTTCTTACTCTTCCTTCTCCCTCAGCCCTCTGCCCTCCACTTTTTTCAAAAAACATGAAGTTCCAATTACTGTAGAACCAATTGGTTTCTTTTTCTTCTTCTTTTCCTGAAGCTTCCACAATCCTCCAGAAAAATCTACTTCACAGAACTGCAATGGTTCAAAGAGCTCAGAATTCACACCAGAGCAGACTCTGGACAAGAAGGGAATTAATAACTTTATGACCCAACCCAGCTTCAGGGAGGAATCAAGCAGCGAAAGTGAAGTGCAGTTTGGGTTGCATTCCATTAACAATAAACCACCAATGTAACAGCTTCTTAATGTAGCAGTCCATAGAGTTTTCAGAGCTATTAGGTGCCCACTATAGGAAGAGACCAATCTGTACTAAGCTAAAAACATCACGGAAGGGAAATGGAGGATGCTCCATAAAGTCATTTAAGAGAACATTAGTCTTTCTCCCTGAAGTTGCATTATGGTCTGAACTAGTCATCCCACCTCTATGGCCAAATTAAAACACACAAGCACAACATTTAAAAAGTTACAGACGCACTATTTCAATTTGGATGTTTTTTGCTTGTTTGTTTTTAAACAATTACTTCTGTAAATGTTTGCATTCACTTTAACTATGGACTGTCCATCAAAACAAACATGCACTGCGTCAGGCTACTAGTAAGCTACAAAGTTTTTTATGTATTACTAAATTAACACTTAATGAAAAGCTATTCTATGGAATAAAAAATGAAGTACAAAGCAGCCATAAGATTTTTAAAGAGTAGCCTACCTGATGAGAGGAGCTTTCTGCAGCAGTCTGAAAATCCACTTAATGCTGCCAAATGGAGAGGAAACATCCCATGTATACCCCGCCTAAGATACACCATAATCAGGTATCACAGTTTCATTACAAATAAAATCAAACAAACATGAATGTGAGCCAAAGCGCGTGCTGGGTTCAGCAAACCACCTAATTAGAATACAGAGCTTTGGGAAAACTTCACATATTAAACGCTTTGTTACACTTTCTAGCAGGATGTATTAATTCAGTGCAACAGCCTATTAAAACTTCCAGAGCTTTTACTTCCAACACATTAGAGGAAAATCGATTTCTCTTTCTTTTTGTACAAATTGCGATGTACTGTGTAGCTACTTTAAAGTACAGTACAGGATAACACACAAAATATTTTCTATTTCAAGCTGGAAGATGATATAAAAAAAAATCATATGAGTCTTGTTAATCTAATAAATACATTTCTAAATTGTCTCAGCTTGCATTCATGTCAGTAAAGTTACCTACTTTGCAGTGTCAGCACCACTCGTAATCAGAGTGTTGATTAATAGCTCATGGCCGTATCTAGCTGCTATGTGCAAAGGAGTATTTCCGTTCTTATCTTCACAGTCTATTTCAGCTCCTATAATAAAAAGTAATTACAAAGTAAGACTATACATAGATATTTTTGTTAGAAAAACAGCAGTGATGATAATTTAAGCAATATTAATAATTGTCCATGAATGACTACTTTGGATGTAAAATCTATACAGTTTTCAGTGGTATTTACTATTAATAACAAGCAAAACAGGAAGAAGCATTTTATTATATAACCATATAGGACAAACTTTCTACGACTCGGGTTATGGAAGAGAAATCAATGTATTTTCCTGCATTCTGAAAAATAAATGGGTCTTCAATGTAACTTATCAAAATTTATAACCAGATACGCCAGACTCCATTAACTGACCTACTACCAGTCACTGGATATGAAAAAAACTTTCAGTACAAGAGGAAGAAAACGTAATACTGAAAAGCTGATGACAAAACTACTCCCTCCCCCTTTTTACCATTCTGAATGATGGTTTGAGATCTTGAAAATCTACCATGGATCGCTGTCATGTGCAAAGGTGTTTTCCCATCTTTACTCTGGAAAAGAAAAAAAATCCCCAATGTTTACTTATGGCCAGTAATAGTAATCCAACAGAACTTCTTTTCTCCCCTCTACTCCCTCCTTTAAATTGTTTCTATGCACTTCTGCAAGATGGGGGCTGGCAGTGACAAGTCAGCATGGCAAGGCAAGCTTTTCAAAAGAGCTGCTTTTAATCACTCTTCCAGCTGTGACAACTCAGTGGTGCTCACTTGCTCACAGTTCTGCCTTTACAATAATCACTCTCAAGAGGATGATGACAGCGCACAACTTCAGCAACAAACCTATGTCCAACTCTCCCCCACCTCGGTCTAAAACAACACTTCTTTAAACTAAGTTTGTTTCTTGAAAATAAATAGCTGCATTTACTATGAAGGTTTGCACATTGTATGAGAAGACAACACATTAAAATCTCATGTGTTTCATGGACATTTCTGCAAAGTGATATTTGTAAACAATTTCTCATATACCACATGCATTCCTAGGGTAGAACTATTGAACCACAACAGGTACTATTCATTTGACACACATATCGAATGTGCACTTAGTCATTCACCCAGTAAAGATGTCCTCCAAGTAGACCAACAGTAGTGCATAAGGGAACTTCAATTTTTAACAGCACAATCTCAATGCACTTACAAAATCTTTTTTTTCTGTTATTATTACTTTAGGATGGGTTCCACCCCACTCCCCCTTGTATTTTATCATAGGTAATGGGAAAGCTTTACTACAGAAAAAAGTTCCTACAAAGGCACTCAAAAAATTTCAAACATGACACTCACAGAAAACAGAAGCACTCTTGGATGCACATGCATACCACATCTTTAATTTTTAAACACTGGCTTTCAAGAGCATTAAATGCTTACAAAATAGAAAGTAAAAAAAGACAAAGATGGTAGGGGGAACATACAACATGAACATACGTATTGAAATATCATGAATTGCTGTCATGTGCAAACATGTCTTCCCATCTTTATTCTTCCTTTGGAATCAAATGGCAAAGCTTTTAGACAGAGTTGGATGTGGAATTTTTAGTTGTGTCACTGCACAGAGCAGCATACACCACCTAGAACAATGCGATTATGGGAAACATCATCTCCTCAGATCTAGATTGAAAGAAATAAAACACTTGATAATGACAGCTGAGTTATGTCCAGATGTTTCAGCTGGCAGATTTCTTTGACTATAAATAATCCAAAAGACATAGTGACATACCCATAGCAAATGCAAAGAAACACAGAAAACAGGGCTGAAATTCACTTGAGGAATTGGATAATCAATTTTATTTCTATCTTTGGAGGCCTTAAGAAAAGGCCAAATAAACACATCGTAAGTGACAACTTCCCCAAGCAATCTCTATGCTCTGATTTTCTTACAAAGAGAATTATTTTCTGATGTCTACTTTACATCTTTCTCCCTGTGGTTTAGTTCTACTGTCTTTATCCAACCACTAATATTCTCTGTGTTCAATTATTTGCTCCTTTAAAAGAATCGTTATATATCTGTTGTCTC